CCCCCCCCCCCCCGCGCGCGCGGCAAGGTAGCTCCCAGTTCTTCGTGGGGGTGCTACTACTGTACGTCCTGACTCTAAAGCGATCTTCCTCGCCGTGGTGGCATGGAACTGCTGCTTTTTTCCTCGCAGCATGCTTGACGGATACTGTGTTAGAATAACTCCTCAATGTTCGTAGGCAGCACTCGTTCGACCCACCTACGATAAAGAAAACTGCGCAACGCTTCGAGCCAGACCGCTTTCGACCCGCCACCCTTAACACGCGTGCTTCCCCCGTTCTCCTTGACAACAGCCAGGACGACGCCCGCAGAGAGCTCGCGGCAGAGATCCGTGAGAACGAGGTCCAGCCGCAGAAGCTCCGCGCAGACGCCGCAGAGAGAGATCTCTCCGAACTCCGGCAAGCTGCCCACGGCTGGCTCTCCGCCGCCCACGCCTTGAAGCTGGAGGCTGTGGCGGAGGCTCGGGAGAACGGCTTCGCGGAAGGGCGCGGGGATTTGCTGGAGCAGTTGGAGCGCTCTCACCGGGAGCGCCTAGCGCTGAGGGAGGAGGTGCTGGTGGCGCGGACAGAGGCGGTCGATGCGATAGCGGCGATGGGGGAGGCTGGGGCAGCGGCGTTGGTGAAGTCTCGCGACGTTTGGAGGGCGGAGGGGCGCGCGGCGGCGGAGCAAGAGCTACTGGCGGGGGAGGATGTGGCGGCGGAGGTTCGGGAAGCGTTTGCGACATATGTTGTGAGCGCGCACGAGCAGAGGCTTGCCGCGGTGGCGCGGGAGAGGGAGCGGGCGGGGGAGGCGGCCCGAGAGCTTTCGAGGGAGCTCGCAAGGGCGAACGAAATGCTGACTGCGTTGTCGAAGGTGAGCCATCCACTAGGCCACAACTCAGTATATCGTGAGTAACTTGCGGTGACTGGCAAGAATGTCCGCGTGAGCGCGACAAGTATCGCAAGGTTTTCTACTTCCCAATAAAAAGTAACGCTTCCCCACCCTAGGTCCAGTTCTGCCTCTTCATGCACGGCTTGTTCATGTAAAATGCACGTTTGTCTATTTGCGCAGGAGCGTTCGATTGAGACGGAGGTCAGGCATGACCCAACTCTCAATAAGGTGGCTGCCGTGCCGGCAGCAGCAGTTTCATCGGTGCCGGAAAACCCCGCTACCACCGCTGCGTTCCGACCGTCATTTTCTACCTCCGCTACTACAACCGCCGCGGTTTCCCAACCCATGGAGGGCGGGGCGGCGGCGGCCGCAGCGGCGACGGCGGTTGCGGCGGCGGCGGCAGCGGTGAAGCTGGCGACGAGCTCGTCGTTCTGGCAGGAGTGCGGCGGGGGACAGAAGTGGTGACCACACGAGCAAACCCAGAGAGAGAGAAAGAGAGACGAAAGGTGACGCCAAAACAAGCTTCGTGTCAGATACGAGAGGTGGCGCACAAACAAGCTTCGTGTCAAGAGAGGAGGCGAGCGAGCCCGACTGCCGATGCTACAGCGGGGAACAGTAGGTTAGGTTAGTGCGGGGGCACGCGGCCGTGTGGTTTTATAATTACGACGGCGGGGTGGTGCGACGCCCACACCCACGGCGGCAACGGTTAAGCTACGTTTCGTCAGCCAAGGGAGGGGGCACATATGTATGTACAGAAGTATATGCTAACCGCGGGTACCTTATGGTGGGGACAAGGGCTCGGCAGATTGTCGTTGTCATATGTACGCCTGTCGCTACTACTGCCGCAGGCGGGTCGGGCACAGGTGTGTGTGTGTGTGTGTGTTTGTGTGTGTACAGCAGTAGTGACAGGTGTGTGGATCATGTTCTCTGTAGGGTGGCGCGAGAAGAGTTTTTTTTCATGAAGATGACACGGTATTTTTCACAAGCTTTCCGCCAAGCAGCGGACTGGATAGCTGGGAGCTGGGGCGGCGGGAGTTTTTTCGTGTCTGAGCAGATTCGCGATGGCGATGTAGCTGTCGCGTGTTCCAACATGCAGGTCAAGTCGTGTACACCATGAGGCAGCTTGGGGGCGTCTGATAGTTTTGAGACTTCAGCATGCGTCCTTGTTGGGTACATACTTTGGTATGCATAGGTCGAGTGGAATGCTCCCAGCGTGTGAGACGCGGACGGCCCACTACTTCCTGATCACTCTTGCTACATGCAGTTTGCGCGTTTGATGTGTAGGGAGCTTAAAAACTTGCAGTAGTTTGCCGTTCGTTTTGGATTGATTTTTGAGTTTCTCGGTACGGCGGTGGGGTAACTCTTACTCTATTATATTGCTGGGTAATGCTGTGCGACTCCTCACTATTTTCAGGTGCACGACACGAACGACCAAGGTGTTTTCATGTGTAGAGAGATGACGAGGCGGTGCTGCCTTGAGATCCATCGGCGCTCGCTTGTGATAAGTCAACCCAACTAAATACTCGCAGAACGTAATCGACCGTCGTTTTACTCGAATGTAGACTGTGCATACGGTCGTCAACTTTTTTCTCGTTTGTTTTTTTGAGTTTGTGTATCTGAGTTGAGTCTTGGCGAATATGAGTACCGCGCCGACCAGTATATAGACCATGATTCCAGGACCGTCCTCACCGCATTACAGAGAGCGCCCGAAGGAAAAAAACGTCAAAATCGAGTCGAGCTTCAATTGTTCGTTCTGGTCTGAAGGACGAGCCGAAGTCGGCCGATTTCTCAAACGGATTTCTTCATTCCTTTCGGCTGTCGCATCCTCCTGCTGATTCTCCTGTTGTATTTCTGATGGCGCAGAAAACAACACACCAAGCCTTCATGCAGCATTAACCGACAGCTCGGTATGGCGAACTTTGGGGATGTGGCAGTACCCCACCCAACTATCAACGCACGGCGTTTATTTGCTTTTGTGACTCGCTCCCGAGTAGCACCGGAGCATGCCACCAAGACACGTGTACCGTCACAAGGTGTACAAACACATGTCAACTCTCCAGCCCTGCACCTTCACAAAAAACAAGAAATATTCACTGCTTTGTGGCGTCGGTATCAGACACGGTTGGTAGGCTGCTGGTGCTGGCTTGTACCGTAGACACAAAGTGCCCACTGCATACCTCATTATCTTTGCGAACACGAAAACACGCGTTACAAGGGTGAAGAGAAAAAGCAGACGAAACGATACAAAATTTGAGTACATACAAAGTCTTGTCTCACCGCCTATCGAACAAACCGGCATGCACAATGCCTGACGCCGAGTCTTTCCCGATCTAACGAGCCAAAACCGCTCGAGTATGCCACAGGCAACAAAAATGAAAAACATCCCGATATCAAGCCCAGCGGCGCGCATGCATCTCCAGGATTTGGGTTGACCAGATGGAAAACTGACCTCTACCAAAAACGAATGGGAAAAAGCGTTGAGTCCCGAAGAAATTGTGTACATACCATAGAGCGAACTATACACAGATCGTTCCAAAAAGCGAAACGGAGCAACAATAACATTTAGTTATTTTGTACGGCCCTTGTCGAATGGCATCAAAAGAGAGAGGAAGGTACGAGAGAGGGCACCTGGCCGGGGAACAACCAAAACCATTCGCCTTCAATGGCAGAAACAAGCGGTGGTGAGCAACGACCAGCAGGACGAGGACTTTTCGCCGTGCGAAATCTCTCCAGCATCACACACACGAAGCCTACAGGGTGAAACGATGCTTACACGGTGTTCACAGAGAGACAGATCACAAACTACCACACATCATGGCCACTATAATAGGAACGGGTGGTAAAACTAAACGACACTGCTTCACTTCCGCCGCTACTCTTGTCTAGCATCGCCGCCGCCTTTAATCGGAGCCAAAAAATACAAAATAAAATAAAAAAATGTTATCTTAGTTGACAGCGGCGGACAAGTAAATGTTCCACCCCAACCCCACGAAGTTCATGAAGAGCACTCGCAACTTGACCGGCACGTACAAGAAGTTGATCATGTTCGCGATCGGCCAAAGCTTCCAGCACACGAGCATGGTGCCCCAGATGCCATTCTTGACCATTATGCCGGCCTTCTTCCCGGACTCGATGCCGCCGGTGCCCGACGTCAGCGCCGTCGCAAACGTGAACAGGAACATAAAACTGTCGGTTCGGTTCGGTTGCGTTGGGTAAGGTGGTGGATTTGGTTGGGTTGGGTTTTATAGGTTGGGTTGGGTTGCGTCGGGTTGAGTTGTGTTCGATTCGATTCGATTCGATTCGATTCGATTCGATTCGGAGTGTTTGGTTCGGTTGGCGGGGCGGGGAGGCAACCGGTAAGTGCGTGCGAGAGTGAGAGCCGGCTAGCGTGGAAGCGCCGCGCAACAAACAGGTACAAAAGGGTAAAACATGACTTCCGCCCTGGAACCGACTACGTCAAAGACGACTCACCCCGCGTTGACGAGCGGCGCGCCGATGCCCTGGTCCAGGATCACCATCTTGAGAGCCTTGACCATCCTCGTGGAGAAGCTGGGGGCAGGGGCGCCGGGCACGGCTTTCTTGTCCTTAAACGCAGCCTCGAGGGTATCGAACCAGTAGTGCACCACGGGGGCGATCCACAGAGCGCCAAGGACGCCTTTTGCGTTGCGGTAGGAGAG